AAATGGAGATGCCGGGGATTGAACCCGGGGCCTCATACATGCAAAGCATGCGCTCTACCACTGAGCTACATCCCCATATGCTTTACATGCAAGACAAAACCAATATGTCGGTCAGGTCTATGCAATATGGCACTGCATAATAGAGTTAAAAGCTCATAAACAGATGTATTGTTGCCTGACGGCTATATGTGGCTGCGTACAGCATAACTAAAAGCATTTCGAGGCATAAACGAATCGCTGTGGACCGTAAATCCACTAATCCAACACACTTCCGCTTAAACCGACAAGAAGGGTGTTCCTGCACAACCGGAGGCTGCAGTTTCAGGACCGCAGTTGTAGGACCATATTCTTTTGTAACAGCGCCACCTACCGAAATGGATAATATAGCGGAGGCTGCAGTTTCAGGACCGCATTTCTAGGACCCTGGTGGTTTAGTTTGTAGTAATGTTTGTACATGTTGTTAAAGATATTGAATCTCAGGAACATTTTTTTTATTTCAGATTTTGTAAGTGCAGGAGCAGGACACTCACAAACACATTACATGGTCCGGCATACCTCTGCACTTCATCTGTGAAGCTCAGTTGTGTTGGTGTCCTGTGCAGCACTCCTCTCAAAACAGGACAGTTGTTCCTCACTGTCGAGGTAGACAGACACTCGGGAGGAGGTTAGCTTATGAGACCACTTAGAGGGCTTCCCGTTGAGTACACCCTATGGGCAAACCATGGTGCAAAAACAGTTATTTTGAGGAAATGTATACATTTAAGATAAAGATAAAATAATTTGCAGCATAGTTAAAAAATATTGTTAATGTTATTCCTAATTAAGGCCCTTGGTGAACCTTTACTATGAGTTTGTTTGTAATGATGATTAAATGTGAACATTGTTTAAGTACCACTAAATGCTCCTCAGATCCCTGTAACTTTACAATGAAGTCCAGCAGTCTCTTTACCTCTGCAGTGTGGTCATCGACAGCCTGAATGTGGATTTCCTCTGAGCTAGCACTCTGTACACTGGCTGAAGAGTTCCTTGGAGCAAGTTTCTGGCCTCATCAGTCCAGAAGGCAAACCGCTGACCATGCCTTTCAAACATCAACCAGATTAATCTAAAGTACTGCCAAAAGGACAGACTAATAACACATATTGTGGTGCAACCAAGCAATGAGCCCAGTTTAATTATGAAAGATGATTTATACTTAACTAATATGCTAAAACAATGAGTATCAAACAATTTTTCAGACTAATACAGTAAGCTACAGGTAAATCTGACACATGTCACATTAACATGCTTTTATTATCTTTTTTAAGTTGAATTAATGTGCTGGCTAGATGTACTTATTGTAGTCATTATGTCAACAAGGTTTAGCTTAATTTGCCGAACTATATACTATGCTGCCATAATCAATCATAGGTCTAATCATTGCACAATATACTCTTTTCAATGCCTGTCGGGTTGCACCCCAATCTACCCCTGCCAAACATCTTAAAATATTTATTCCCTTTTTACATTTATCTATTACTTTATTAATATGTGATGCAAAAGTTAGTTTTGAGTCCATCCATAATCCAAGGAACCTAATTTCTGTTACCTGCTCTAACATTTTTCCATAAATCTTTAGTTTAATATTTGGTGATTTCTTCTTTTTTGAGAAACATATCACTTTAGTTTTTTCTACTGACAGTCTAAAACTCCACTTATTTACCCATTTTTCCACTTCATTAACTGCTTTCTGCATACTACTTTCCACAAATACTAAATTTCTTCCCCTTTTCCACAAGGCACCATCATCCGCATATAAAGATTTACCAAATCCTTGTCCAATCATTGAAAATATGTCATTTATCATTATGTTAAATAAAACTGGGCTACACACACTTCCTTGTGGGGTCCCATTATCTGTTGAGTAAGTCCTAGAATAACTTGTTCCGACCGTTACTTGTATGGTCCTATTAATCAAAAAATCCATAATCCAATTGTACATTTTCTGATTGCTGTCCATGTCGTCCATCTTTAGTGATCCAGTTCGGTAGGTGGCGCTGTTACAAAATAATATGGTCCTACAACTGCGGTCCTGAAACTGCAGCCTCCGGTTGTGCAGGAACATACTATTGGGACATTTCACTTGCGGAAGTTCCTCCTTCGTAAACCAAAACATTTCCACCTATGTGACACTGATATTGACATTTACCTACGTGATTATTTGTTTTCGTAGAGGCTTGTTTGAAAGCAATAGCTAACAGTAACTTCACGATTAATGTTCTCTCCTGGACGAACTATTTTTGTTGTTCAAGATAGTGCTCTGTCAGCACAAACATGACTAATGGGACAGGGTGAGGCAGGATTATGGAGGATATCATTTGTGTCAGCTCGGGCAGCGACGACGACGACTCTGATTTAGAGGTCATAAGCAGTTATAATGAAGAGAAAGAAGATGCAGTTCCGTTCATTCGAGCACAATGGCTGCCCGTCACACCTGTAAGTTTATCCTGCTATTTTCAAGATTTTTTTTTCTGTATCGGACTCGTTTTGCTTATTTTTAGCCGCTTGCACTTTTATCAGTTCCTACGCAGAACATGAGAACATTCATGTGGTTTACATATGCAAAAAGCATATTTGATTAAAGTGTACGTAAACTTCCACTTGTTTCCAACCGCACGTGGTTTTTGCTTTTTATAAATGGCGCACGAACCGTAGCTGCAGCCTGCAGGAGAAGTGCGCACAGGTGACGTTACTCGAGATATTTAAAAGAGATTAGATCTTTTTATCACTTTACAGAGCACAACAACCTTCAAGAACAAAAATAAACATTTTATAAATATAATTTAAATACTTGGATACAAGTAAATAATATTTTATTGCATGCTAGGCCTATATATTTTAGATTTAATTTTCAATTAATTTGATATTAAAGCTATGTTAATCGATAAATCGACTGATGCCCGTTTAAAAGATTACATTGTTATATATTACCATAAAGCCTATTAGCTTTCCATTGTGTTAGAAATAAATACCAACCAGGTACTGGTGAATATTTTAGTGAATTATTTTGAGTTTCTTTTGCTATTAGCCAGTTTCACAGGCACGAGGCTACATACATTTTATTACGGCGGCTCTCAGGAATAAGCGATTCTGATTGGCCAATCGAGGTTTAACTGACCGCTCATCCGGGAAACCTGTGTTTCTGAGCTGAGCTCGTGTTCGTTCTCTTCATGGTCTGTGCAAGTAAGCTAATACAATTATTTCAACTTTCATCAATGTTTAATATCTATGTATGTATTTATTTGCATACAAAGCGGTGTAATACCTAGGATAATGTACAGCAGTCAGCCATTGTTGCAAAATAAGAACTCCTTCAAGGAGTCTTGGTAACCATTGTTATTATATTTAACTTTGATCTATTATCTATTTGGTATCCATTACATATTGGCCATCAGTTACCTGCTCTATAGTTATCAGTACTGGCATAAGCCATAGAAATGTCCATATCGATCTATCACTATTTCTTTTGGTTTCACCTACTTTACTCATTATTTGTTTGTCTCAGGTCCTCATCGATATCACAGGCCACAACTTCACCTCTCCATGGCGAAGGTGCTCAAGAAAAGATACATGCTCCTCCCTAGAAGTTATAGATCTGAGTGAAGATAATCCTCCTGATGATATTGACGTACAGAAACCATCGCCGACTTTGCCGTCAGTAGAAAGCAGAGGCATGAAAGTGCGTGCAACACCGGCATCTTTTGGAAAAGCTCAAGAATCACAATCTCAAACCAGCGTTGGCAAAGATGTGGCTAATTCAGGGTGTTTTGTAGGAAGCAGTGTGCAGTCTGTTGCCTCTAAGTCACTCAGTCAGAAGAACACTCTCAAAGACGTGCTCCAAAGAACAGAAGATTATTTGCATCAGGACACGAATTGTAATTCAAGCTTGCCATCTGAGCAGCTGAGCTGGGATAAGTCTTTGGAGCATTGCAGGTCCAATGATAAAAGTAAAAATCCGTTCAAATATGAATCTGAAGTATTGAAGGATTCTATTGCAGATGTATCGCAGAACACTAAAGACACACAGCTTAGTACACCAGCTGTCTGCAGCATAGAAGCAGACCAGGAAGACAATCTTGACTCATTACAGAAATGGGAAGACGCTGTTCTCTCTCCTTACAATCTTGACAGTCCATATTACTGTCCTAGTGAGGTAGATGCTTATATATTCTCTGATTCATCCAATAAGTCTGAAGATAATAATCATCTGTTTACATACAACAGTCAACAGTCATTTCAAACCTCTGAGCTACCCTCTGCTACTCATACTGCATCAGTATCCAATGCACTTTCATTAAAAGAGGATGGTGAAACGATGAATATTAGCAAAAATGAGGACCTACATACTCAGGTTCATCCCAAGCCTTCGTCCCCCTCCATACCTACCTCATCTAGGGCATCGCCCCCCTGGAGCCCTGAACTTTTGTCTAGACATAGTAAACCCAACAGTCCCACATCCACAGAGATTCTTGCCAGTGACACAGCAGCACGTTCCCCTGATCAGTCTACGCTAAGCTCACCAAGTAGCCTCATCATTTCTCAGTCTTCCTCGCCAAAATTTCCAGAGAGAACAGAGCAAAAGAGAAATGATTTAGAGGCAGGATCTCTAGAAAGCCCTCCCATCAGGTTTTGGGAGACAAGCAGCGATGACGGCAATGAAAATGTGCTGGATAATGTGGAGTCAGATCTTTCTGAAAACAACACAGAAGATGGACAACATATTTGTCTGACTCGGTACAAAAAATTTAATCAGTGCATGAGTGGAATGGTTCCACACATGGTAAGATGTTTTGATATGCACATTGACCTTTAAATAGATTGATTTAAAGGAATACCCCAAAATGCTCTCATCATTGACTCATGCAGTTCCAGATGTATATGACTTTTTGCTCTTCAGATGAACAGAAACAAGATTTTTAGAAAAAGAAGCCATGTGAAACTCACGTGAGAAGAGATGCGAAAGCACAAGAGGACTGTCACTTCTTGTGTTTCACAACATGCATACATCGGTTCTTACACAAACCTATTGTTTCACTTCAGAAGACACCGATTCATCAGCTGGGGTAGTATAGATTATCATTGTGTTCACTTTGTATGGTTTTTGTAGTGTTAACTTTGCGGGTCCCAAATGGACTCACAGATATTTTACTATTTTTCTAAAAATCTTCATGATCATCTGAAGGGAAAAAGTCATATACATCTGGAACGGCATGAGGATGAGTAAATTAATTACATTTTTGGGTGGATGTTTAATTGACAAAATATTGATAATGTGGTTGTCTTCAAATTGTTACTCTGTGCATACATAATTTTAACATGAATGATACAGTCTTTTGTGTTTACTTCAGCCCTTAGGACCAAAATTGCAGCAAGACACACCCTTGAGTCTCACCCTGAACGTCATAACATTTGTGAATATCCTACAATATCCATAGCAAAATATATTTCAGTCAGTTGTTTTCTGTTTTTAACAGGATGACGATGAGGAAGATGAACACTATGGTCCCGCTGAGCCTCTATGCCGTCAGAGCCTTAGCTTGGTCTACAGCACCATTGAGGAGAATTACCCAGAAGGCACTCTTCAGCTGCTCTTTGACTTAATTCAGCCTCGGTATTACCCACCGGTGGATATTACAACACATCTGCTCAGGGGGATACTCTTAAACCCACAAAGCCCTGATGTTTTTGTCATAGAGGCCTATGACCTATTGATGAAGACTCAGAGGTGAGTGTAATCACAGCTGTAGCTGCTTGGTTCAAAACAGTTATGGGAGTATGAACAATTCAATTTTTCATGAAAAAGTCAAGTGTAAATCAGAAATGTAGCCTGGTAAGTTGTGCATGTGCTCCAAAACATGAAATATCCACCCACTTCACAAAAAAAATCAATGTGTAGAACTTATTATTAATGAGAACTTTTATAAGTTGTTTGTTTTGTATGTTAAGATACCACCCTGTGCATGCTTCGACAGTCCCATGGGATTGGGAACTGATGAAGTCAGTTATGAAGGAACAGGTAGATACATTTGGAACTTAAAAAATAATAATATTAAGTAATATTAAAAATATAATGAAGTAATGCTTTTATTTTTTCAACGTTCCACGCTTCATTATTCCTGTCTTAAGGATGACACTAGGAGGTTGCGGACGGAGGTCCAGTACCTGCTCCTGCAATACGTGTTGCAGGTTTTAGAAGATGATTTTCATTTTAATCTCAGGAGTCAGTGTCTTCATCAGTCTGTTGCAAAGAAGATGCTTTCATGTGGCAATGAAACAATTGGGCAAGTCAAGTGAGTGACACTCATTATTGCTGGAGCTTT